CCAGTAGCTGAAGGGGGGTGCAGCACTTTTTCTCTGATAAGGCATGCCGCTACTGCTAATTGCCTGTTTAGTATGGAATGTTACTACGAGCTGGCCACCTGCTGATAGAGACAGACTGACGCCACGTTCTTTTTAGTATGAGCAATTAACTATTGAAAATATACGAAAACATGGGTTTGGGGAATTTATTCTTAAAAATCAGAGGTCAAAAGGTCAAACTTAAATCTGTTAAATTCAAATTAGCAGGTGTCCACTACACCGTTGTGATAAAAACTGATAGTTGATATCGTCTTCTTTTTTGTTGCATTGCAGTTCGAAAATCGACGAAATTCGAGGTTTTAGCAGGCCGGCGACCAAACAGAGAGGGGACGTCGTGCCACGAATTCATTCATAAATGGTAACTGGCATGCACGAATAACTATTTTTTTCACCGTGACGTCACACCGTGTTGAGGTTAGCATATATGCAAAAGAAAGATTTTTAGCGGAAATTATTCAACGCCTTAAGGTACCACGGTGGGAAATCCACCAATGAGCGCTTGGACAGGGACAGAATGAGATCGTATTTGAGTGTATGCGTACGCTGGAATTTTGTATTTCTTATTAGAAAGGGTTAGAATTCTTTGCAATTGTTAATTTCAGAAACTAGAATCTTTTCTGAATCGGACAGTGTAAACGGCTCGTCCGAGGTGCGTTGCTGATGCGGCCGGGGAATTTTGAAAGAAAGTCTACTTTTTGTGCAAATTCACATTGCAAATTGGCCATTTCGAGTGTGTGCCGGGAAATTGTTGGTTACAAGAGAAATTATGGAATAATTTTTTTGTTAATTGCATATATGGTGTCACTTGAGGCTTGGATTCAGAGGATGGCATTGTTATTTCTAAAAAACAAGTGTCGCAGAGCGTCAGCGCTCACCTGACGGCAGGTGTTCTGATGCTAAACTCAGGGGCAAACGAATTAAGAGCACCCTCCCATCGCCGCGTTCGCTCTCCCTCGTTGTCTCTCATTCTTTCTCTTTTGCTCTCTCGCTCTTGCTCTCTCTTCCCTTCGCGCTCTCTCTCCCTCTCTCTCTCGCTCGATCACACTCTCGCTTTCTCTCTCTCTCTCGCTCGATCAAACACTCTCTCTCTCTCTCTCTCTCTCTCTCTCTCTTGCTCTCTCTTCCCTTCACGCTCTCTCTCCCTCTCTCTCTCGCTCGCTCACACTCACTCTCCCTCGTTGTCTCTCTCTTTCTTTGTCTTTGTCTTTCTCTCTCTCTCTCTCTCTCTCTCTCTTTCTCTCTCACTCTTTCGCGCGCTCTCTCTCTTTCTCTCTCTCTCTCTCGCTCTCTCTATCACTCTGTCTCTCTCTTCCTCTCTCTCTCTCTCTCTCTCTCTCTCTCTTCCTCTCTCTCTCTCTTCCTCTCTCTCGCGCTCTCTCTATCTCTCACTCTCTTCCCCTCGCTCTCTCTCCCTCTCTCTCAATTTCTCTCTTTCTCGAGGCGGTAGCGCTGCCGGACGAGGCTGTACGACTGATTGTCTATACAGATGTCTGATTGTCTATCAGACTGATTGTCTGATGGTCTTCTAACCCTAGCAAGACCGTTTCGTGGAGCTAGCAAGGCGGTAACGTTTTTATATAACTTCACATAAATGTTTATACTATATGTTAATTCGGGTGGCACTCCGGCAGCCCATGTTTATACTATGTTAACTCGGGTTTCCCAGCAGCGGCCAGCGATGGTAGAAAATTATGAAAAATTTCTCTAAAAAGCTGCTTGTCCGGCGGACACGCTACCTGACAGATCTACTTGTCCTTAGTGGAAATGTGTAACGCAGAAGTTTACGCTACTGTGTTGAGCTATTGACGTCGAATGTATGCGAAGCCAAAATACATAGATGAGAATAGAGATCAGATGTTTACCATGATTCGTATTTTACTTGAAGGTCAGAACAGTTACAGTGTTACAAAATGTAGTCGCAGTCGCTTCTGGTTGTCGAGAGCCTCCTCTATCTCCTCCTTGTCCGACCCGTACGTTCGGACGAGGAGCAGCAGTTCTATTGTCGCATCAGCAGCAGCAGCTGCAGCAGCAACATCAGTCGACGGGAGATTTCCCTCTCCTCCTCGTCTGACACCCGCGTTCAGACGAGGAGATGTCTAATCTCCTCCTCGTCCGACCCTTACGTTCGGACGAGGAGCTGTCGAATCTCCTTCTAATCCCCTTCTAATATCCCGATTCTGCCCGCGTTCCGGCTTTTATACTCACAGGCACGCCCGCGGCGCATGCGTGACACATGCGTCGTACGTACTCGCAAAGGCGTTGCACACGCCTCGCGCATGCGCCGTACACATTCGCGAGGGCGTCATACACGCCCTAAAAGCTATAGTTCTAGAGCTTGCCCGGCTGCAACAATGCTGTTTGTGGCCACTTGCTTGCCCTACTCTGTCGGTGTGTTCTAAAACTTACATCCTAACTCTAAGTGAGATTACCGATTAACTAATAGTACAGATGTCTGACGATAATGCTTGCAGATAGGCGAACTTGTTGCGACAGTTATCGAGTACGCTGTGGCTATATGCCCGGCAGCCGGGCACGGTCTTTGATTTCCTAAATGCCCAGCAGTTCCTAACCCTAACCCTAACTCTAACCATAACCCTAACCCTAATCCTAACCCTAATCCTAACCCTTGTTTACTTGAGATAACGCTGAAAGTTAAAAACTGCCGGGCATTTAGGATATCGAAGACCGTGCCCGGCAGCCGTCAGATATATGCCGGCTGACGGGCATATAGCCACTCTTCCTGTTCTACTAGGTACTCCTACAGACTGACTGGCTGGTTGCTGAAGGTGCGTGCGGCCACTGCGAACTCGTACTTCTTCCCCTGTACATGGTGGCATGCTGGAGAACTTGACAGCCTTGCAAGGGATCTCTTTTGCACTGCTGGCGTACCTTGTTTTCTCACGTGAGATCGGCACCATCACAGGTAAGACTGGGCAGCACAGTCTTTGACAGACTGGTTTCGTATCTAAGCGACCTATCTTCGATTCTGCAGCCGGTTGTATCTCAGGTTGGAACTGCCCTCGCTTTGCACCAGGTGGCGAATTATGCAATGCTTTTGTGAAGCGGACAGAAAAGGTTAGAGAAATCCAATGCCGCTCGAACGGCTGTCGGCGTCGAGCGCCTCCATCCTACTGTTGCATTCCTATTGCGTGCCAGCAGAGTCGAAAGTGCTCTTTAACCGTTGTTTCCTTGAGCACTTGTCCCGAGCTTTTTCGGAGGCTGCATCAGCCTGGGCCGTGACCCTTACGGGCATGTCGTGACCTTTGACGAGCAGATTTCTCGTGTTTTACACGCGGTTTAACTGCTCTCTCTTCGGCGATTTCCGGCATAGCCAAAATGCTGCTGGGGGCTAAATGTGAATGCGCATCAGCAGAGTTGACTGTTAGACAGGTTTTCAGTGAAAATAAATCAGTTCTACGTCATTTCTGCCTCGTTAAGTGCCGGCAAGCATTGCCCTGTACGGAACACACAGGCTGCGTTTTCCAGTAGCTGAAGGGATGTGCAGCACTTTTTCTCTGATAAGAAATGCCGCTACCGTAATTGCTTTTTACTATGGAATGTTACTATGGAGCTGCCACCTGCTGATAAAGACAGACTGACGCCACGTTCTTTTGAGTATGTGCAGTTAACTATTGAAAATATAGGAAAACATGTGTTTGGGGAATTTATTCTTAAAAATCAGAGGTCAAGGGGTCACACTTCAAACTGTTAAATTCTAATTGTGAGGTGCCTACTACACCGTTTTGATCGATACTAATAGTTGATATCGTCTTCTGTTTTGTTGCATTGCAGTTCAAAAGTCGACGAAATTCGAGGTTTTAGCCGGCCGGCGACCGAACAGAGAGGGGACGTCGTGCCACGAATTCATTCATAGATGGTAACTCGCAGGCACGACAAATCTTTTTTTTTTACTGGGACCTCACAAAGTGTTTAGGTTAGCATATATGCAAGCGAAAGATTTTTAGCAGAAAATATTCAACGCCTCAAGGTACCATGGTGGGAAATCCACCAATGAGCGCTCGGACAGGGACAGAATGAGATCGTATATGAGTGTATGCGTACGCTTGAATTTTGTATTTCTCATTAGAAAGGGTTAGGACTCTTT